AGCAGCATTATTTGTAATAGTCAGAACCTGGAAGCAACCTAGATGCCCCTCAGCATGAAGAATGGATACAGAAAATGTGTTACATTTACACAATGGAGTGTAATTGTACTCAGCGGGGGGTGGGGGGACGACAAAAAACCAATGGACTATTGAAATTCGCAGGCAAATGGATGGAACTAGAAGAAAAGTACTACTCAGTGGAAAAAACAATGAAATCTTGAAATTCGCAGGCAAATGGATGAAACTAGAAAAAACCAACCTGAGTGAGGTAACCCAGACACAGAAAGACAAACATGGTATGCACTAACTCATATATAGATATTAGACATAGAGCAAAGGATTACCGGCCTACTTAGCTTCCAGAGAAGCTAGGAAACAAGGAGGACCCTAAGAGAGACATACATAGTCTCCTGGAGAAGGGGAAAGGGATAAGAGCTTCTAAACAAATTGGGAGCATGGGTTGGGGAGGGAGGTCGGGGAAAGAGGAGGGGAGAAGAGATGGGGAAGGAGAACATGAGGGATCAGGAAGATTGAGTCAGGGATGAATAGAGGAGAGCAAGAAAAGAGATACAGAGAAATTTAGCACTAGGGAAATGTCCCGAGATCCACAAGAATGACCCCAACTAAAAATCTGAGCAATAGTGGAGAGGCTACCTTAAATGCCCTTCCCCTATAATGAGATTAATGACTACATTAAATGCCATCCTAGAACCTTCATTCAGTAGCTGATGGAAGCAGAAGCAGAGATCCACAGCTAAGCACTGAGAACTCCTGGAATCCAGTTGTAGAGAGGGAGGAGGGATGAGCAAATGGGCCAAGACCATGATGGGGAAGCCCACAGAAACAGCTGACCTGAGCAACTGGGAGATCATGAACCCCAGCCAGACAGCTGGGGAACCAGCAAAGGAACAAACTAGGTCCCCTGAATGTGGGTGACAGGAGGCCTGGGCAGTTTATGGGGCCTCTGGCGGTGGAACCAGTATTTATCCCTAGTGCATGAATGGACTTTGGGAGACTCTTTCAGCCTAGATACATGGGAGGAGGGAGGGGACTTAGGCCCTCCCCCAAATGATGTGACAGATTTTGATGATCCCCATGGAAGGCCTCACCCTCCCTGAGGAGTAGATGGGGGTAGTAGGATGGAGGGTCATTGGGGGGCATGGGAGGATGGGAGGGAGAGGGAACTGGGATTGATATGTAAAATAAAATTGTTCTTAATTTAAATAAATAAAAAAGAAAAGGCCACCACATACTGCATATGGGAGGCAGGATGTTGTTAAATGGAGTCAGAACATTGATATCCTTCCTGGCTCAATATTTTTTTTTAAGGAGTCCAGTAATGTGTTACTCTTTAAGAATTGTGTTTACTGGATTACATGCTACATATGTTTTTAACACATGTTGGCTGTACATAGGTGGTATGACAATGAACCATATTTGTAGCTTTAAGTAAAATTATAGGTGAATATTCTTCCTCGTAGCTGTTGTTGCATGTCTCATTGTTTCTTAATACACAGAAACTTTTCCTCAGTTTAAGGCAAAATACAAGATAAAATCCAGGTGCTGGGCATCTCTACAATGTGAATTTGATGTTATCTTTTATTATTGTATACTGTAAATTCTGTACAGAACGGAGAGACTGTTTACATGGAAAAACACAGCTGAAAATATCCTAAATGTGTGAGAGAGCAGTGTGTCCTTCTATATTTTTTTTTTTAGTTTTTAGTGAAACAGTTTGAGAGAGGTTGTAGTTTTCCATCATTCTTTTCATTGAAGTGCAGCATCATAGTTTGCTTTATTTCTTTACTTTTTTGCATCTTCATGGGATAGGGAAGTGCCTGTCATCAGAGCAGTCTATGAAGGATGAATGTAATAATGAGTTTATAAAAGATGAGTGAGTAGAGCCATCATTACTACAAATATCAATGAGTCCCTTAGATACAGAAGACAAATGATGCCTTTTGAGAAGAATTTTTAGCCAATACATTATGGAGGTGAGGGTTTTTTTCCTACGTTTATTAGTTAGCATTATGGCTTAAAACCTGGTCAAAATGCTATTTCATTTGATTTTTTTTAACATCTAAAGTTCTTTAAACAAATGGTGTGTGAAAATGTTCTCAGTCAATTTACAATGGCTAAAACACACAAAAACATGGAGAAGTATTTACAGAGAGTGTATGGGCTGGATTCTGTGCTAGTTTCTCACAGTTTCATCTCTTTAAAGCTACTCTTGAACCTGTATTACAGTTGATCAAACCAGTTAACGGATGTGCTAGTAACACCATTGGAAAAGGACCCAACTGGGTGTTGCATTCAGGCAATCTTCAGAATGAATGCTCCTACACCTTCCCCCCATCAGCTTTCCAGCATCCTCTGTGTCTATTAAGAAGGAAATAGCTTCCATATGCATTGGTAAGATGTGTTCTCCAAGGCAGATTGCCCAGCCACCAGGACAGACAGTTACTCCTCTGTATCCATAGGCTCTTCATCATGGATTCAGACAACCACAATCAAAAATATTTAGGAAAAAAGTAGTATCCCCATTGAACATGTGAAGACCCCTTTCCCTCGTCATTATTCCCTGAATGATACAGTATAAGAACTATTGGGTGGAATTTGCATTGTGTTTAGTATACATAGAGATATTTTAACGTATAGAGATTATCTATACGTAGAGATAATTTAAAGTATGTGAAAAATGCAGAAATGACATAATTTTATATAAAAGACTAGAGAATCTGGACATTTGGTTACTCAATGGGGACCTGGAAGCAATCCCCTGTGGATACTGAGAGATGACTACTTTGCTAAGACTACTTTGCTAAGGAGTAGGGGGCAGTGTGTGGTATGGTATGGTATGGTATGGTATGGTATGGTATGGTATAGGCTATATCTGCCTTTTAAAAAAAGGGGCAGTGTGTGGTATGGTATGGTATGGTATGGTATAGGCTATATCTGCCTTTTAAAAAAAATATATGTGCTTGTTTCTTTTCATTGGAAATTCTTCTCATTGCCTTCAGGGAATAGATTGAGGTCCCATGGGAGCATAGTAACAGCCAGTGTTCTACAATTTCCTATATAGTTTCCTTTGAATTATCAATACTGTACACAGATATTTTATAATTCTATTTCAAATGACACTATGGGAAGCTACTAAGAAAAAATAATGCATGCTAAGAATTTTATCCATTTAGTTGTGCAGGGGGGGGGACATAATGTTAGATGGGTGGGCAACTGGGAAGGCTCTGGGAGGAGTTGGGGAGCAAAAAATCAAGATGAAAATATATTGTATGAAAAATTAATTAAGACAATAAATTAATTTTTAAAATTTTGTCCATTTTTTTGCTTTGGAAACACTATATCCTTTAAGCCAAAAGATATGAGATTTTAATACCATCTAAGAGACATACTGACTCAGGTCACATGGGTACTGGGCCCGGTGTGGCTTCTGAGCATCTCTGGGGAGGTGACTCAGCAATACCAGACCTCAGTTTTCTATGCAGTAAAATGGGTAGTCTCCTCCAGGTCACAATGCCAACAACCCCAGAATAGGTTTTATAGAAGTACTTTTTCAAAAAGGTTAAAGGCATGGCTCAACTAACTTGATTCATGAAAAAGAGTTGACCTCAGGGACCTAAGTGTCCCATGCCCACTCTTACCATTATATGCTGGAGCAGTGAGTGGGATTTGTAATGAAAATATTCAAAGAGCTTCAGTTGAGCTTAGATACAAAAGCAGAGTGCCAGTCCCACTGCTATAGGCTGCCTCCGTCTATGTGGAGTGTTTCAAAGAATCTCTGTTAGTGACCTGTAGAATTTCTCAAGTGTGGGGCCTGGAGTGTTTACTGTGATCTTGGATTGCAGGAAGTCAAGTAGAAGTCAGCAAACCTTTTCTATAAAGGGCCACAGAGGGAAAATCACACACTTTGTAGGCCATATGTTCTCCCTCTGCCCGCTGAACACTGTGGCTATAGACAAGAAGAGCTGCAGACTATTAGTGACAAATGGGCTGGGCTGCAGCTGTGTGCCAGTAAAACTTCATTTATGACAGGTGTTGGCCCTTGGCCGATGGGTTTGTAGCTTATTTATCTGTGAGATACAATAAACTTCTGATTTCTCTTTACATAGTATTCTGAGGTAAATCATCTGTCTAATTCTTAAATACATACTTCATTCTATGATCCCTAACTTCCAGCTAGTCCTTAATGAACATCCTACTTTGCAAATACTACATTTTATCTTTTCCCCGATGATTACTGTATTTCCATTTTACAGCTTCCTTGCCATTCTTACTGCTCTTCACATGCAGGTTATAGTCCCTGAAGACTGCATTCGCTTGCTTGTATTTCTACTTTTACATGCGTTTAAGCTTGCCCCGAAAAACCATTTGCTCAAGTAATTTTTTTTTAGTACCTAGGGAATAATGGTCAGCCCTGTTTTGGATCTTCAGGATGTGATTGGTTAACCTCTTAGAAAATATACTCTTCCGTTTTTAAATGAAGCTCAACCACATCTAATGAACCGCTCTCCTCGGAGCACAAATAGGGTCTGGAGACAGTGTTTTTCTTGGAAAATCATTTTCAAAGATCTATGTTGGTCCCTGAACCCAGTCCATCCCCGGAGAGGTCATTGCCTTAGCCAGGAGGATTGGCAACATGCCTTACCTGCTCTGGGTTGCAATACCTGGCTCTGATTCTAGACAGTTCTCTCAGAGCCTCAGTCTACCTCACATCTTTGTCTGTTCCCATGAAGCACTTCTCAGCCTCTCCTTCCTCCTCTCCTAACTTTCCAAACTCTATGACTCCACCTGCTGTCAACAAACTTCATGTTGGCAGAGCTCTTTACTTACACAGGGAGGCTGATAGATGATTGAGATTTACGGCATGCTTTAAATTCACAGCTTTTCCTATTCAGCAATTTAGCCATAGCCCTGGATACAGGTGATTTGTATGATCCATCTTGCTTTATGTCTTGCTTGACATTCTGCCTTTTTCATGACAGGTTGCTGAATGCTATAAAGCCAGGACTTGTTAAAAAGATCAATAGATTGCCTACCCCCATTGCAGGACTGGTGAGTATCCACAATTGAGATTTATTTTCCAATATTCCTTTGCTCTAACCTGAGGGTCACGGCAGTGCCATTTATCACAGTTCTTTCCTGCAATATGTATTCTACTTGAACGAGAATGCATTGACTCTACTCCACTCAGAGGTTCCTTGAACATGAAAAATTCCAGCCATGTCCAAATGCTATCTTAATCATTGTTTGTATTTTTCCAAAGAGTCATTAAGTCCTCCAGTCTTGAAGAGGTAAATTTGTTTTGGGGTGAGAGGCTGATAATTCAGTTGACCCCAGGAAGGGAATGTGATTTTAATTACATTTCCTCTTTTCAGTGCTTCGCTGCATTCCCCTTCAATGGAGGAGGGGGAAAGAGAGGACTTTCAAGAGGAAATATCACTTTCATAATAAGTTTCCTCTTTCAGTGTTAAAACTCTATGTTTAACTTTCAGTAAAAACTGAAAGTTAAAACTTTCAGTGTTAAAACATTTAAAGTTAAAACTTTAAATGTTCCAGCGCTTGGCTAGTTGTAAACCAACTCTTCCCAAGACTCATGAGTCTTCCTAAGACTCATGCCAAGGTTATCCAGTGTATGTTACTTGGTGACCCATGCAAGAATGGTCCCAGCCCTTCCGAGCTCACTCCTGAGATCTGTAGAACTCACATGTTCACATCAATCAGGCAGGATATAATTTTCAGGTATTAATGTATTTTATAATTCTTGGCAATGAATTGTAAAACTGACGCTGCCTTTTTGTAGAAAAATGCAGAACAGGAAGATGACCAAATCTTAATTTGTGAAGGAGCTACACTGCACAGCCTGGTAACGATTCACTGGCTATTTCCTTGATTATCGCCTTCTCTGCCTGTGTTTTTGCAGGAAAACAATGAGAAAAATGTCAAGAATTTAAGCTGGCTCCTGCATAGGCCTTGCTGATTGTTTTAAAGTTTCTTAGTTATATCATGATGACTGGTTAAAATTAGATGTGACAAGAAGCTATTGTGCTTTCACACTGTGGGGGTCCTGATGGGAAGGCATGGTATCAGCGAGTTGAATAAACTGGATTCTTTAGTTAAGAATTGTTATTTCTGTAGATACATTTTCATTCCTATATTGGTTGGTAGAGAGTCGGAGGTTAGTCATTAAAATTCCATCTAATTTGTCAGAGTCATGTAGCTAAGTAAGCTAATAAATAGGGAGGGTGTAGATGGATAAACTTAGGAAAAATGGTTTTAAATAATTCTACAAAGCATATAAGATGTGAGTATTTTTGATATATCACATATGTTAGCATGCATGTACATCCATTATTTTAGAATGTTTTATTAAAGCCATCTCTTCCAGATGTTGAAGGTATGGTCTTTATGACTGATGTGTATTTGTTTGGCCTTGAGCCCATGGCAGCCTTTGACCTTACTGGCCTTGGAGCACTTGGGATTAGTGTCCCAGGAATAAGATGAAGCACAAAATTAAGGAGGCCCCAGGAAATGCTTGTGAGCTGCATAAGGTTCTGTACACAGTAGCTGAAGGAAAGGGGGATTTGAAACCTTGAATTTAAATGTTTCAGTAATGTTACATGTTTGAGTACATACACTTATTTTGATAGTCTCTCTTGGGGAGTAATCATGCAGTCTATGCTGTGTGGTGCTTGTTCAGGAATATCTGTGTGCACATTCACATGTGTGCACATAAGGAGTACAGAGTAGGTCTTTGGGTGTCTTGTTTTATTCTTCTTCATGTTATTGCCTTGAAACAGTGTGCCTCACTGAACCTGGAGCTTGCTGGGGGGTTATGGCTTGTACAGATGTGCTTGGCTTTTTATGTGAGTACTAGAGATTTGAACTCAGGTGCCCGTGCTTGCAGTGGGGTGCTCTGACCCTTTGGCCCAGCTCCCCAGTCCTATTTTGCTATTATTTACCATAGATCAAATACTGTTCTTTACATGTCTGGCAATTTGATGTAAGAAAAAGCACTTTAGCTGTTTCCCTGCTTATATAGTTGACTTCTGTTTCTCATCCTCTCTCTTTTATTTCCCTATGTTCTGGATTTTTTCTAGCTGACATTTCCCTGCTTGCATTCATTGTTTGTCACTTACATTTTTTTATGAAATCCCTCCTCATATTCATTGTTATGGGTTGCTCACCAGAGGCAATCACTCAGATACAGTTTATAGCCCATTGGAAGTCTTTATTCCAGCCAGCGGGGATTACACTTAGGCATTTGGGACCCAACTATAGCCCCAAGTATTTAGGGTAAGAGGTTTTCAAAATAAAAACATATCCTAGTAGTTCACTTGGCGGCTGCAAGGGGAAGTTTTATGCAAGCAAGCAGTTTAACAGAAACTTAGATAAGCAGTTATCTGTAGGGGGTCCTGCACAAGTAAGCAGTTTAACAGAAGCTAAGTTAGCCAGGGTAGCTTGACCTTGGGTTCCTGAAATAGAGTTGGGTAATTTTCCATGGAGTTCTCTATCAAAGAGGTCAAATTTTAGTTAAACCTAAAATGGCCTCAGTAAGAATACAAGATGGAGGAAATTGTGCTGTACCTCAAATGTGTCTGAAGACTTCCAGGTTAGTGTGTTTACATTGCCAGGGAGTTGGCAGACCACCAGCCAACTATTGATCAAGATGTCTCAGGTCTCTTGAGGAGTGTGGCTGGAGGGATTTTTTTGTGCTGAGAGAGGGGGTGAGTAGACTGTATGTTTATATATGTATACGTTTCTCTCTCTCTCTCTCTCTCTCTCTCTCTCTCTCTCTCTCTCTCTCTCTCTCTCTGTGTGTGTGTGTGTGTGTGTGTGTGTGTGTGTGTGTGTGTGTGTTTGTATCTATTATGTATGTGTGTCTCTGTGTATGCATGTCTCCTAATGGCTTAGTGTTGAGAAGTCAATCCAGTAAGATGGCCCAGTTACTCAACCTGAAGGTAAATAGCAATGTGTGTTTTCACATACCAATCCAGAATTACAAACACATGCAGATTCACAGAGGCATGAATAGGTGTATTTTACCTCTGGAGCTGTGGTTACAGAGAACTCAGGGGCAAAGGTGTTAAAACAAAGTAGCTGAAAACCATTTCCTGGCAAGAACTCACAGCAGACCCTGGATCCAGGTCTGTGTTCCTTCTGTAACATTGACATCTGAAGCTGCATAGTGACTGCCTGCAGATGCTTGCATTCTTCTGTAGGTGTTAGTGAGACTGTTTGCTGCTGCCAGAGAGAAAGACCCCAAATTCAGGGCTTGGCCTACCAAAGATTTTTTAAGTGTCCCTTTAGTCTGCCAGCTCATTAGCATTGCACAACCAAGTCACATCCTGATGTTCCAGTTAGCAGTCATTAGAGAGGATGTTGAAGGCCATTGCACACCAAGGCCTTCCTTACTGTGGGAGCTTGAAGTTTGATCTTTGGGTGGATTGACTACATGTCTATTGCATTTATTAAGTATAAAAACATGTGTAATGCAGTTTTTTTAAGTTCTGTTTTGACCCAGCTTTGAGGCTAGCCCAATGTCTTGCTGATGCTGAGTGTCTAACACTAATTGCCTCAGAGCCATGTTCCGAAGCACAGCAGTGCAGCTCCTCAGGGCCCTCCATGGGGGAGCTCCCCAAATTCCACAACATCATTTTGTGCCGGGCCTAGGCCCTCCCCCATGTGTCCTGGCCAAGAGAGCATCCCTTCACTTGGGATGGGCTCTCAAAGTCCCTTCT